ATCGCAAAGCATGATGGTTCACATGCTGATTACGTCACCGGAAGTGCATTTGAAGCACATATCATCACATGAACCATATTTGAAGTCGACAATCGTGTAACCATATCTTGCAAGACAGGTTCAGATAGGCTTAGGACAGACACATGTGTACCCTGTCAAGAGCTTTAATTATACATACCCTCATACCCTCCCTCTTATTTTGGCAGAAAACTGATTACAGGTGTATGTCTACTTGTATTAGCTATATCACAATTTAAAGAAAAGCAATGCAATGCGAATTGCAAAGCAATAGAATAGAAAACAATACGATAGAATACAATCCACTAGTACAATATAGTGCATTGCAATATAGTGCACTACAGCCATACAGCACAAAACACAAGACATTATGCAATACAATACAATACAATGCAATGCACTGCAATACAATACAACACAACACAAGAAAATACAATTCAGTACTGAATACAATATTGACAATACAATACAGTACAATACAACACAGTACAAAACAACAAAATACAATAAAATACAACACAAAATACAATACAATACAACACAAAATACAATACAATATAACGCAACGTAACGCAACGCAACACGACTCAATACAATAAAATACAAAGCAGATTAGTCAGCTCACCAAGAATCCTCGGTGTTTTTGCATCCTCCTCTTTAGAAGATGGAGTAGAGGAACAGGAACTAGGCAAGCTGAGAATGACATTCTGGTCACCTATGATGTAACAGCCCTCTTTACAAATGTAACACTTGAGGAATCAATTCAAATTCTCGCAAAGAAAGCCTTTAAATAAATTGGTTTAATCAGTACGCATAACCTGAACATCAGCGAAGCTGACCTTATTGAACATTTGAGAGTTGCTACAAAAGGTCAGTTGTTCCGGTTCGACTGTGACTTGTAGGACGGAGTCGCCATGGGCTCACCACTAAATCCCCTGATGGCGAATCACGTTGAAGCCCTGATTTTTTTCAGGCTTCTTCTTTCCAATTGCTTAAATTGGAAAATTTACTGCGATGATCATTCATCACTTTCATCTACAACCGCAGTTCGAATATGAATTATTTCATATATACTTCACATCAATGTATTTATGTGTTCCATAGAATAAAATCTCGAACATGCAAACAAATTACCTTCATTCTACAGAAGGTACGTAGACGACACCTTTGTTTTGGTTCGCGAATCCTCGGCTGCTGATTCTTTCCTTACAACTCTCAGTGAAGCTCATCCGGCTATCATGGAAATAGCAACAAATAACCGATTATCCTTCAGGTTGGAATCGAACTTTTCAAGATGGGACACCATCTCGAAACCGAAAAAAGAGGGTGTCTTGAAACCAAAGACCCCTTAAGACCCCTTAAGACACAAAGACCCCCATTTTTTTGGTTAGGGTACTGCTTTTCTCAGTACCCTCGGGAAAAATCATCCCCCCCGGAAAAGTGATTCTTTTTTTCTGAGAGGGGAAGGGGAGGTCATTCTTGTAACTTTTCATGTGTACAATAATCGGAACAGTTTAAATTAAAAGTTTAGGTCTTCTGTTTGTACTCTCTCTTCTTTTTGTCACTCCCCCCCCCCAAATTGTCGTTTTCTGAGGGGAAGGGGTGGAGTTTTGAAATATGTACCACCCTACGCTCTTTAATCTCCCGTGTAGAGCACGAAGTTGCAAAATTGACAACTGTACTGTACTTTCCCTCGCCCCAGTACTCTCTCCTTTTTCTTTCCACCCGACCTAAAGAACGTGGGAGGAGAGGGAATCTGAAAATACCAGTAGATCATCTTGGANGGGGGGGGGGGGGGGGGGGGGGGGGGGGGGGGGGGGGCGCGGGCGGCGAGAGAGAGGGAATTTGAAACCAGACTCAAACATTGACTAAATCATATCCCCGGAAGTCGTCGAGCCAAATCCGGATCTTCTTCGGAAATCTCAAGTGGATCCTACGTCGTTTCGTTTCTATCACGTTGTGAAAATTTCTTTGATACACGACTTTCGAAAGGCACATTAATCTCTTGGCTTGGGTTATCAATCAAACGATTTAGTATGGTCAATGTGTGGGATGAGGTCTTTGTTTCCAAGTTTTGGGGTCTTAGGGGATTGGGGTTGACACTGTACGCAAAGACTTAAGCAACCTTTCCACGAAGATAAATAAAGATCTGCAGCCCATTTTCACAAGCAGGAGACTCGCCCAAGACCGTAGAGTGACGGAGAAGAAACCATCTCTAGTAAATCACCAATGCGTTGTTTATGAATTGAAATGTAACTTGTGCGATTCAAGTTATGTCAGATACACACGCCGACACCTGTTTCAAGGATTAATGAGCATAAGTACTCAGCTGTTGGAAAACACCATCGAGAAAGTCACAACCAAGACCAGCCAAATATGCACGAACAATTCAACACCTTAAAGAAGTGCAGAGGGAAACTGGAAAGCTTAATTTACGAGATGTGGCTAATCAAAGAAAAAAGACAAAACTTAAAGGGGTCCTTAAACACACGAGCGGACTCTATTCGGGCAAACGTGTTTAATTAGCTGACATTGTTCTTCACATTTATCTTGACTCCATAACACTCAAGCTAGCTAGTATACATGTATGTGTAGATGTAATATATATCTGAACTGAACTACTGAAATCAACATTTGAT